GTTCGCCGTACAAGTATCGAATTATGTGGAGGAGCGCCGTCGTGCTGAAACCACATATTCCGCCGTACATTCAAAGGAACGTCTTCCAACAATGCCGGAAGCTCTAGTCGTAGAAAATTAGCATATGCATCCCCCATTAAGGCAATCAGATAACACAAACGGCCCCACCTAAAAAAACAGGAACGGAGTTTAGTGATAATTTTATCAGATGCATTAAAATTTTTACCACAGTAGTACCAATGATTCCAGCCCATAGTTTAATAGTAAATCGCTCCTGATATGCACTCACCCTAGTGAGATGTGGATTTTCGTGTGCCCAGAAATACCAATTGTGTGTATTAAACATTCCTTCTCGGGAAAATGAACATTCGTCGGTGAAAAGAATGCGCCGTGTAAAATCAGGATTTAGTTCATTTTGTCGCAGTAACCATTGAGCAAAATGTACTCGTCGCGGGTAGTCGGTTGGTCGCAGATGCTGCACTCTCGTGTAATGGTAAGGATGCAGTCTTCTCTCTTGAAGGATACGATGAGTGGTCGATGTTGAGCATCCCCTTATTTGCGCTACGTAGAGGACACTTCTCCTAGGATCCGCTTCCATGTTTTCTAACACTTGCTCTTCAGCACCTACACGTACATTTCGTGGAGCCCCAGCACGGCCTTTCCGACTAGGTTGAAAAGATCCATCTTCTCTTGCTCGATGTAACAATCGGTGAAACACATGTTGGTCTGGGTGCCGACGATTATTCACGGGGCTCCAAGAAAATGACTTCTAATACCTGCTCTTCGGTATCTACACTATGTAGAATAGTAATAAATGTATTATTTGCCTAAGATGAAATGAAACAGCTTCTCTTATGACATGTACAGCCCAGTTAAACACAATTTAACTAGAATGGCAGCAGAAATAACTTTTGTCCCATGCTACTTGCCTTAAAGTAAACCTTGACGTCTCTGTGTACATTAATCAGTCATCTTTGGCGCAGAAGCGTCTCTTCAGGTCAGTGATGAACTTCGTGACAGTTTATGACAAACAATTGTCAAAATGATTAAATTTATAACCACACTTCTGTTTCCTTTTGTTGACGGAGGGGGATTCGGAAAAAATTCATTCAACTTTAGTATTACCCGATTTTTTGTTCTTGGCATAGGTAACTTTGAACATAGAAACGTTCGGATATAAAAGCAGCCTCTCTATTGGTCAACTTAATCGCCTTCCAGTTCTCACACGGTTAAAGCCTGGACAATTCTTTTTGCGAATTACGGCACAGTTCGGGACAGGGAATATGTCATTCACGGGAATGGCGCGAATTTTGGGACACCCTGTATTTCTCTATCTCACAATTTTAACTTCAGTAATTTTCTTTGTAGTATAATTTTAATTGAACGTAAATTTCATGTTCTGCAGTTTTAATCTCACATAATATGTTTATTTGCACAAGTATATTTCACACCAGATCTTTTATTTTATAAATCTTTACTAGTTTTGTTTTGTAAATACTTTGTTGATGAATGTTTCTATCTTATAAATTTTTTGATGTCCAATTTTAATCTCACATAAGATTTATTTGTTGTTTAAAATTCCACAAGATCGTATGGCGAATTTAAAAGTAGTTTATTGCTCCTTTGAAACTTTGACACTTGTTCAGTTATTGTTAATATCAGAGTTATAAGTAGAGAGCGGAAAATATGCAGCAAAATTTTGGGAAATATGATCATATGATATGCACCAAATTTATACAAATATGCAGTAACTTTCTAAATATATGCAGAGATATGCATTTGCATATGCTCCAAAAATTAAAATAAAAAGGCTTAATAACCAAACTAAATTTATTTACAAATTACAAAAACAGGTTTTCCGAGCTTCCGTTTTATTACAAAAAATACATAAATCACATTCTAAAGTGTTTAATTACATCTCACTAACACATAAATCACATTTTTCATTTTTAATGATAATATTCTTATACTAAAAAATTAATAGAAACAGAACAAATTAAAAAATAGTAGTAATCGACTATTTAATTACTATTTTGGTAACAATTTATTTTTGAAAATTTTTCTAAATACCTATTCTAACAAAAAGATTTTCCGGTGATTCTAAAGTATGTATTTGAAAATAGAAAAACTGCGTACTACGTCCACAGACGTAAAAATTTACCAGTTCAGAGCAGGCGCGACAAAACACAGTTTCTTCTTGAAGAATAAGTTCAGGGAAAGGTTTAATCCACAAAATTAATTTGAGTTATCTTCGACATATTGACACACCTGTATCGTTTTAAATGCATTCAATGAAAACTCACGATGAAAAATAATACCATACTTCGACCACCACAAAACATACCATTAGTACACTGAAGTAACGAACAAAAATATTAGGAATATTAGAACGTATTTCCAAAAGTAATTAGGGCGCGAATTTACCTGAAAGGATGGCTTAACACCCAATGGTTTCTCCAAACAACCATAAAACCCAAACCTTTTCTAGTTATTTGAAGCTCAGGACAATATTTGCAATATGATTCATGAAATTTCGTCTTTCTAGATAAATACTGATAGAATGGGAATCTTTTTTTTTTTCAAATTAGCACAAAAATTGATAAAAATGCAAAATATGCACCCGTTACGTGAAATATGCAGCACAAGGCAAATATATGCAAATATGCAATTTTTTTATAGCTGTATTCATTTTTAATTAGCATGATTCGTACACATATTAAATATCAAGACTTATATGCAAAAAATAACGGATATGCAAATTTCATAAAATCCGCTCTCTAGTTATAAGAGATTGATCATTTCAAAATGGAATTGAGGTTAAATCACACAGAAAACGTGGCAGAAGCGAAGTGCGGTTCCTACAAGTCCGCAGGTTTGGATAGATTCAGGGGCGGTCGCCGATGCTGTAACGTTCTCGGCTTCGTGCTAGTCTAGATCCGACTGCGGGTCTGGTGACCGTAACGGCCTAGTTTCGGACGGCATGTTCGTCCTAGAGACGTGTAACGTGCTGTTTGGGTAGGCTTTGCGATAGATAGGATCACCGTCTAGGGGGAAAAACAGCCCCGACCGGTAGCCCCAAACTCCGCTTGTGCTAGAACGCCTAAGGGGTACTTTTGTTGTGCTCCTGTTAACTGCCGTTAAATGCAGATGAAATTTTGGATACGACGTTTTTTACGGACGAAGCTAATTTCCACCTCTCGGGATACGTGAATTACCAAAATTATCGAACTTGGTCTACTCAAAATCCTCATAGTTTCGCTGAGACAGATTTGCACTCTATTAAAATCGGTGTTTGGGTCGCCATCTCTAGGAGAAGGACAATCCTATCTTCTTTAATGAAACGATAAATGCCGACCGATATAGAACACTAATTTTAGACAATTTTGTAAATCAACTAAACGACGAAGAACGAGAACATTGTTTTTTTCAACAAGACCGTGCCACTCCTCATACTATTTAGAATAAATATTTCCTGGCAGAGTGATTAGTAAAGGATTATCGTCTTCTAGGTCAGCAAACTTAACACCTCCAGATTTCTTTTTGTTTGGACACTTAAAAAACATTTGTCGGAATACATCTCACAGTTTAGACATTCTATATGTATTTAATCAATGGTTTAGACGATTTGCAAGACTATAGACCGTGAAATTAATAGTATCAGTCTCCAAGTTTTACACAACGTGTTTGAAAATTTAGAGAGAAGGGTGTATATTTGCTTAGAAAATAATGGACATTTTCAACATTTATTGTAATCTTTTTCTGCTTCTTTAGTTTCCGTATTACGTTTTGTTTATTTATTTGTTTTTAATTTTCTATATTTTGAAATAAACTTGATAAGACACTCTTAGTTGTGTATAATATCATGGAGAGTATTCTATGATCATATCCTTATTACAATGATTTGTAACAGATTTGTCATCGGGTTGACAAGTTGCAGAAAAAAACAATCGGTACCGTTGGATTAAAAGTAAAAAGAATTAGTGTTAGCAGAGACCAATTGATTAATTATATACCTGGCAGCCGCGTAGTACCTGTCACTGCACACCTAACACATCAAATAATTATGTTCACTAACATGTAGTCTGTGACTAACATGTCTGTCACTTGTAGCAAAAATATTGTGCTAACTGTCACAAAAAGTGAGTAATTAAAGGTTAGTATAGTAGCCTGCATAGATATTGTAGCCGTCCATAGAGTCGAGATTTGCGAATAAAAATAAAATAAAACCGGCTCAAACGAAGCCGACGACGGCTTGCAAATTCTGTCACTACGGCACGCGTCATATCACACAGGGGTGTATTTAAGGCTGTTTGCACAAAATCTTAGGGTCACTGTAATCTTACTATATTCTATCTACGACAAACGATTTGTCACACAGCTACGAAACCGATGATCTAGAGAAAGATGGAAGTTTGAAAATTTATTTCAACAAGTGTAATAACCGTTTGGTGCAACACAATTGGTTCAAGCAAACTAAAATATGACAGGAAACAAACAGTCCACGTGGACTAGTTTATAGTCGTGTTTGCTGCTAAGATGACTAGGTTTTTCGCTCCACCTGCCTCCGCAACGATGAATATACCATACCACAACTTGTGTACAGTGAACAGAGCTTCGATTTTATTGACGAGATTCAGCTCAGAAATTAAGCAGATTATATCATGACGGAAGAAATGACATTTAATATTAAATACGTCTCTGTGCAACGTGTGCCAGAGTGATGTCAGACTTTGCAAGCCACCGTCGGCTCCGTTTGAACCGGTTTTATTTTATTTTTATTCGCAAATTTCGACTCTATGGACGGCTACAATATCTATGCAGGCTACTATACTCACGACGTGATTGCCTTTTGCACTTTTTACTAACAAATGCTTCTAAAATAGAATTGACAAACCGGATCTATTCTATTAAAACCAGATTACGGAAAGTGGGAAGAAGTGAAATAATTTAAACTAAAATTCAGAAGATCGACAATAAAATTGGGAAAAAAATGCAACTGCTTTACCTATAGCAAGTTTTATTTTAATAAAGGAATAGTTTCATAAAAAAAAAATAATTCAAGCTTACAAGTGGTCGCCCATAAAGATTAAGGACTTTGAACATTTTTGGCCAACTAATTGACCAATGATATTAAATAATTCTTGTCCACCATATTTCAGTTTAAATTGTCTAAATAGTATAAGTTTTCTGTTCTTTATAACTTTTATTTCATCGAGATCACTACCAGAACAAACATTTTCATCTGTGGCAGCTTGGTCTTCATCTAACCTTGAATATTTACTAACTTCAAGTTTCTGTAAACATTTTTCAATTGGTATCCAATGGTAAGTTTCTGGGCAAAGAAGAAACGATGGCGTTAGTTTACCTTTGTACCTCATTTTAGTACATGAATGTATATAAAAACCCATATAATAATTCTGTATGGATGGTCTTTTTAGATGTAAACTTCTAGCAAATTCAACTTCCCTAAAAATTAACAAAATAAAAACTGACTATACTATTAACAAAATAAATAATAATAAAAAAAATAGAGAATTACCGCAGAGATCCATATGTTCCTAACGTCAGGTCCCTGTAATCTGGATCATAGAAAAAATATACAGCACTGACACATTTAGGCAAGATGTCAATAACTCCGACAGCTATAAGTTTATCATCTAACCAATACAGTTGATGGAAAGATCCAAAACCCAGCTCTGAATCCTTTGAAAATTTTACATGCTAAAATATGTTTTATTCAGGTTTTGATTCCACTGCCAAAAAACAAGTTGAAAAACAGAGCAAAACATACCTGTAGAGGTGTGTCTATCAAGAAATTGAGATACTGCAAGTCATCACATTCCTCAGCAGAGTCATTATGGATAGACATTTGATATTTTGCAAACAGATCAGCAGTTAATCGAAAATATTTGTGCTTTTCATGGATTTGTTCTAGAGTCATCTGTGATTGAACAAAAGTCAATGATACTGAACACTTAACAGTTATTCTTTTACTCTGCTTTTAAACTTGTACTTTTTTTAATAATACCTCCAGGGGTGAATTTACTAAGAACCTTAAAAACCCTTCCATTTTACATTTTTCAGGCGGATCATTATGAACAGCCATTTGATATTTTTTGTACAGTGCAAATTCAATTTTTTTCAAATTTTCCCACTCTTTGGAACGGCTACCAGTATGTATCAATTCAAGCTGAGAAAAGAATAACTATTCTACCAAGCGAACATTTTTCAAGGTATTAATTAACTTATACTAAACAGACAAATTGTGAAAACAAAGTACCTTAAATTTATGTTTCCCGTCTTGGGAAACTTCATTTAGAAATTCTTCTAAAGACTTTTGTTCATTTCTCACTTCAATTTTTTCTAAACTCATACCGCGCTTGAGAAGTTTTTCTTTTTTACGCTCCATTCTGACTAATTTCGCTTTCTTACATGGTGGTTTTGTAGGATCTGCTCCTACTCCACTCTTTGGTTGTTTTAGTCGTTCATACTGCACAGAATTTTGTTCTGTAATTTGTGAGGTACTCGGAACTGTAAAGGTCAAAATTATTTTGATAATGATTTCATAAAATAAAAAAATACTTGGTTCATGTGGCACTTTGGATGCTTTGGATCCACCAGATAAACTGACAACTTCACTGTTTTCTAATACTATATCACTATCCATAAGCTGCTCGTGTGCCACGATTTGTCTGGGCGCTTCTCTATATACAAAATCGGACACATTGTCAGCTGTCTCTTCAAAATTCTGTTGGCTGCCACTTTTCTTCAGTTCTCCATCTTTTGAAAACTTGTTAAAGTTCTTGATGACTTTCTTTTGGGATTTGGACAATTGGAAGTTTTGAGTATCACACCTGAAACCCACAGTTTTATTACCTGTCAATATGATTACCTAACCTCAAAATCAATCACTGAATTTTTCAAAGATACATTACTTGATAGTGTACATTGGACAACAGGTTGCATTCATTAGTGGTTTATAACAATAACTTCCAGATCTCCTCCAACCCCTATCGATCAGGTTTTGATAGTCCTCTACCGTAAGTGATTTCGCCCACATTCCTAATTGCAAAAATGTATGCTATTTGAACCAAGGTAAAAGAAGATAATACTTACCGTGGGAAACATTTCCTCTTGCATTCTTGCAATATCCGCACATGTGCTTCTCAAGACTCGAACACCAGTAAACAATACTACAATCGCTCATACTGGACCGATTTTGTTAAGATGATTATGTAAGTAATTCAACTTTTTATTATGTAAAAAATTTTACCGAAATAGATCAAATGCCTATTTCCACTCAAACAATGTACCTGTTATTAGCTGCCATCATTTTTTATCGCATCTATTCCTTATCTGTAAATACACACGAAAATGCAATGATGTCAATATAAAATATTCTCTGAAAATCATTGCGAAAATGTCATGAACATCTGACATCTGACATCCAGTCATCTGACATTGTTAACCAGGGGTCCTGAAACTTGAAATACGAATAGTTACTTTCGATGCCATTTTCGTTATGAGGGCGCTAGTTATCTTTGAATGACAGTTCAAATTTGAATTTGATACAATAGACCAGTAAAGTGAACAGCACGGGAAATTTGAACTCAGTTCATGACACGAGAACCGTATTTCAGTTCCCCGTGTAATTCTTATGGGTGAATTCGAGGCGTCACTTAAAATTAAATTCTACCATTAAAGTAATGTTCTTTATATCCCACTACCTGTACCATTAAGACTGGTGTTTTTACTGTTGATCTGGATGCCAAACATGAACGGAACCGGTGATATTTAATAAATATTTAAATTCAACTTTTGCCACTACATTTGTGCTGAACATATGTCGTACAGTGGATCATACTTCCCATTGACTTCCCCCTCCATTTACACGGTTTTGATTTTCAGACGGTACGGACTGGTACCGATCAACACCTCGAAATCTGTACAACACCTAGGTGGTGCACAATGTTTCGACTGTGGTACCAAATTCTTTATGTAATGAGCAGGTCTTCCGGTCTGGCAGTTCGCACTTGAACTCATTTCACCATAAAAAAATTGGTCGAAGATTATTTTGAGAGAACTTCCCTCGCTTATAAAGCACAGTCAAACAAATGTGGCTTCTTCTACTAATTATAAAATTTAATTTTGCAAATTTTATTTTTGTATGAGTTAAAATAAAGATATGTGTGAGTTTTTTTGTAACAAAATTTTATTTAAAACTCTGAATTCATTGATAATAATATTTTGCGTATTTTAGATACGATTTATTGAGCAATGACGCCATCAATTTTTTGGAAGGGGGTTCACTGATAAATTTTGATTACGGATTCACAATGCTTACGACAACCGTAACATGTCTGCAAGATTTCAAACTACGCTTTATCCCTTCTGATTTGATACATTCAGCGAACTGTACATTTCGTCACATCTCTATCGTCATTCTGACAATTGCTGTAACTTTGCCACTGGTAATCTTCAGCCCCAAACCTTGAGAGCTACTGGTGCTGTACTCAGTGTATAAATTTAAATGATTACATTCACCTGAATGAAGGTGGCTTCAGATTTTGATTTGTGATTTGGGGACTTAAACTGGGATTAGTTATTCTCGTACGGGACCAGTTAAGTAACAGACGCGTGTCACATTTGATATAAATATAAGTACGTATAGTTTAAGCAAAAAGAGAATACGAACACACAGATATTAAAAAAAATGTTTTCCAAAAAGCGAATTTAAATTCAGATCTCAAGCCAACTTCAAGGGTAGTTTAGAATAAGCGGAGGAAATAAAAGAGCAATTTTACGTATTAATTTCAACATATTATATACACTTTAATCGCAGGGTATTTTTAAGACTGTATAATTTTTGTTGGAACTTTTTGTTTTGTATTTGCCAAAGTAACAGTAATAAACTGCACCATAAATGAAATATGTTATTATACTCACAGCATTACTTCTTCATCCACTAAAATTTTATTGGCCTGTGTAAACAAAACTTAAATGACATGATATCGGTAGCGGGTAGAATTTCTTTTTTTAAATTACTTATTTTGAATCAAAATTTTGAAAATTTTTCCGAAGAAACACTAATCAGGCTATCATGAGTAATTCGGTATAATGTAAACACCTATTCTGATGAAATCCTAAGAAAGGAGGTTTCAAAATCTTTTGCTTATTATTTTTTACAGGGTACAAAATATTCGTGACAGAAAATTTTTTATTCAATAGGAAATTTGTGTTTAATAACGTGTAACGAATTCGTAAAAGCGTCGGTGTTTTGGATCATAATGTCACTGGAAGTTTTCAAAAAAAACATTAATACCTACTAGTTTATTTGGGTAAATCGGTTACAAATTCGTTGATAAAATCAATAAAGTTACTAACTCTAGTGTAAACCGAAGGTGCTCCTTCAGATCCACATGGTGTGAAACCCCAAGAAACAATGCCAATAATAGTGTTATCTTGAATTAACGGTCCACCACTGTCACCTGAACAAACACTGATACCACCAGTGAGTGGTCCAGTGCAAATATTTGACTCTCCAGACAAAGGATTTTCTTGTCCTTCTTCAAGAAGTGGCCGAATAGCTGCATTACAATCTAAAAGTACAAGAAATAAAGTTGTTTCAAAGTTACAATTTCACTTACCATCAAACGAAAGAACCGGAACAGTAACAGTTTGTAAGATATCAGGCAAATTGGGAATTACGACAAGTGAAACAGAGCCCCACCCAGACAAAACTGCGTTCCCTAGAGGAATGCTGTCAACAGCTGGTAAACCAATGGGTTTAACCAGATCGCCAAATACTAACAAAGTTTCGAGTTCTAGAAGTGCGATGTCATTAGGTCCTACACTTCCGCCAAAATTCGGATGAACAATTTTTTGCACGATATTAATTTGTTGTCTTTCTGGAGTTTCTTCGAACAAGTTTGTAATCCCAACGAGAATTACGTGATCTCCAATTTCCGGAATTTGAGTAACACAGTGGCCAGCTGTGAGAATCCATTTTTGAGAGATAATCGTTCCTCCACACACGTGTTCAAGTAAGCCAAAAATTCCCCATTGGTAAGAGACCTGATGAGGAAACTGACCTTCTTGAGCGTCTTCACCGTTGGTGATGCGAGGATTTGGGCGGAAGAATGCAGGCTTCGGGATAGTCTGAGAAGCCGGTTTAGCTGTTGGATGACAACATTTTGCTTTTAAAATTTAGAAAAAGTTTGTTATTCAATGTGAATTGGACGTTCTCTCACTTTCTTGTTTCGATATCGCAACAAATAGACAATTACAAAAATAAAAAAAAAATGTGTTATCTTGTAAATACATATGTTATTGTATTTTTATAAATTATTTTGAAAGGTAGACATTTTTTGATATTGACAATGCTAGGAATAGCATGAAGAATAAAAAATAAATCACACTAGATTTTCAGAAATTCGTAAATAAAAATGATACTCTACAGCATATCTTTTTTAGTTTTGTCAGTGTGGTCGGGATTTTACGAAAAATGTTATTAATGTATGGAGTGGAGATATGGGGATGGAAGGAATATGCAGAGATTGAAGCAGTAGAAGAAAAATATTTGAGGTGGATGTTAGGGCTACGGAAAGAGACGCCAGGCTATATATGTAGTAAGAGAAGAATGTAAACGAGGGAAACTAAGAGTATACACTGGGAAAAGAGCTGTAAAGTATGATGGAAGGATGAAAGAAAGAGAGGAATGTAGGATATTGTATGAATGCTGGAAGGAAAAAAAAGGAACAAAATGGCCCAAAATCATGTGATATTTGACAATTCTGTTTCATGTTGCTGCTTGGAACTTTGTACAGTCAAAAAATACAGTGACAATTTTGTTCTAATACTTCTAATTGGAGTTAACTTCATGGTCTTTAAATTTATTAGAATGTAACTGCTATAATATTGGCCTTAATTTTTAACTTTTATGGTCAGTGTTTGACAAGCGTAAGAATCTGGATAAAATTTGCTTATGGAGACAGAGAAACAAAAAAGATTTAAGAAAACTTTATGAAAGTATATACACTTCGTTTTGCATTTTTTTTTTAATATCAGTATTTTTTTAAGCTATTGTTAGACAAAGAAAATATGTTGAAAACGCCATATAACTACCATAAATAATGTAATTATTGTATAGATTCTTACCTGAAGCAACTGTAACCCAAATTACGAATATCAATAGAAATTTCATTATGGTAAAAGATACTCGTAAGTGTGCTGCACTTGTTGCTTTGTATTTGTGATTATGAAGATAGTGAGCCTTCGTAATCTATTTAATTGAACTATAGTCTAGATTTTTATGTCTGCCCTACTTTAACAATAACTACTTGGATATTGCCACTTTTTTGCGTTTTAGTAAGTAATATTTTTTGGGATCTTATTTTTATAACTATTTCAATTATCTTTCTTTTTTCCTTTGTTTCTATCTTTGTATCTTCATCTTTCAATTAATGTTATTGTTGCGAAATAAACCCATACGCCGCCTCGGTTACGACGGCTATGGGCCGTCGAGAACTCTCAGGTCTTACGCCGATGATGATTCATCCTTAATGCGATGGATCGACGGAGCGCTAAAGAAACGCCTGGAAACGAAAGTCGCGAATGGGAGTTCCGGAGAAGTCTAGAAGCGGTGACGTACGCGTTTCGAGACGGACCGCGTGCTGTTTAAATACAGTTCACCCTCGGGATTCAGCTAGTGGAGTCAAGAGCGTCCAGTGAAATTCGCTGGAATAATTTTTGTACATAATCGCTGTAATAAGTTAGTCGTGTAAATACGAGTTATTAAGAAATAAATTGTTGAGTTTTACCTACGCCCAATTTTAATCACCTGTACAACGTAACATTATTAATTATTAAAATAACCTAAATTATAAAATTTTATGCTTGATAACAAAGAAAGCTAAATTTACATTATTACTTGCACTGCTGTAGTAACCCAATATATATGATCATTATTATTATCATTTTCGAACTTTTTTATTGTTAATCTCTATCGATCTGAAATTTTAATGCTACATTATCCTCAAGATGATGATCGCTACTAAATTTATCAGTCACTATCGTAAAAACTGATCTTAAATAATATTGAGTATTTTTTGTGTGTGTAGCATTCGTTTACTTGCGGTTTAACATTCCTTTTCTGGTTTTATCTTTCCTGATATGAATTATTCTAAAAAATTTGAAGTTTCGACTATCAAATCGTAGAAATTATCCCAGGTATGACATGTAAAATTTCTTTGAAATTTTGTTACAACACTAACATATTTAAATTTTATTGACAGATATGCCCTGAGATGTGACACCTATTGCTTGTGTCTTAGTAATACGTTTTTACTTTGAATCTTTGAGTGTATAGCTACCTATCTCTGAGAAATACTTATATATAGTATAACAATATTGTTAATAGTTTAGGTTCGTATAATAATTAATATGAAGATATATTCTGTCGTTGTCAGTTGACTTTGACGTTGGAAATGTCTGTACTTGCCAAATACATTAAATTTCATTTATACTGTGTGTTCAAAAGACCCATAGCTGTCTTATTTCTCGAATACAGCATAATGTTTAACGTTCATTGTTTTTGTTTACTACATGCGACCTGTTCTTTTAAAGTATTTTAAGTTTTGTCGCGTTCCTTGATTAGTTTGAGGAATTACAGAGTCCGATGGTTGGAAAATATAAGTCAAATAACGGCAGTACCAACATCATTGTTTTAAAAACAATTTTTTTTCACTAGCAGCCATGACGCATGCAAATGTCGACTCATTTAGTGGTAGCCGAGGAGGGTAGAATAATTATTTTTCACTAGCAGCCTGGACGCATGCAAATGTCGACTCATTTAGTGGTAGCAAATTCAACTTTTGCTACCACGGGTTCAAAAAGAAAAATTGAGGTTATGTACGCAATGTTTGATGTGATTATTTCTTAAAAAATGAACAAATGTGTGCTACAAACATTACTTGAGTATACGCATGGTAGTTGGTAGACGGTAGAAGATAAAATGATTAACTCAGCCACAAGTATAAACGGTTTTCTTTGTGTTGAAGATTTAGATCAAGTTTGATTAGAAATCAAAACAAAATCACTTTGCGTCAAAAAATTGAACGTTTATTTTTCAGTTTATTGTCTTATGGTTTCTACTAGTGAAAAAAATAGTATATTAACCACGGTTGCAAAGCCACTTCTAGACCTCGCACTTAGAGCCCTCGACGCTGCGCGTCTCGGGTTCTAATTTGCGCTCGGTCTAGAATGCTTGACTCTACAACCTTGGCTAATAATATACTAATTGTTGCGCGTAGGGGTTGGCAATTCAAACAGATTGGGTAGTATACCAAATTTATTAGAAGAAAATGTCGCTGGTACGGGTGTCGGTTACAATTATCCCTTGTCTGCTACAACTACAACTACTTCTTCAACTACAAATACAAATACAACTAATACAACTAATACAACTAATACAACTAATACAACTAACTTCTTCAGGTGCGAGCCAAAAGTTATATATTGACAACTATAGTCATGTGACCGGCCATAGTTGCGGAGTAATGACATGACCTCCTTAATTTTGATTGAGTCGATACTTAGCAATCGCGGAAAAGGAAATGCAACTCAGCTTGACTTCGGACTCGCTTCCTTCTAACAACGCTTGCACATGCTGCCGCAGCAATCCCAATTAAACAGGATATTTCACAACACCCCTCCACCCTTAAGATTGAAAATTGAACCTTGGATTCGCCAGGGGACAATTTTCAATTGCTTGAGCTTGAGTACTATCACCAGGTTCTGAACCTTGCGGGGAGGAGTTTTGCTTAAAACAGAATCGCCTACACTTTAGAAAAATTAAAATTACTAAAACTGTTACAATCAAGGAAACAGTTACATATGTAGAAATAAAATGAATGTTACTAGTAGGCTGAACAGACAGTAAATGTTCATCTCGTCTTACAACATCAAGATCTTCACTAAGCCTACCTAACGTTACACTGTCATCATTATTAATAACTAAAGAAGTAGGGGTGCTAGACAGCCGACTAAATGAATGATGCGTTATAGTTAAATTTATATGTTCTACAATATTCAATGGATTAACATAATTTTCAAAAACATTCTTACTAATAAAATTCCTATTAAAAGCCCTGATCACTAAAGATTTTGCATACAAGACACAAGAAGAATCCAAAGATATTATTCCTAACCTGATAATGTCCAAATTTATCCTATACTTATCTATTTTACAATTAATTTCTATGCTTTCCTTAAAGGGTGAGACATATATCCAAGAATTTACAACATTTAATTGTATAAACAGAGAATGTTCCAATCTCATTACCCTCTTATTACAAGATTTAGGTATCACATTACTATCACAAAATAAGTTCGATTCACAATTATTATTTAGGTGGGTTAAGTAAATTGGACCTTTTTGCTGACATACATAATGATCCATGTAATAAAAACATTTGGCTAACTCAGTTTTTCCCAATAGAAAATAATGTTGTTTTAACTCATCAATGGCTAAAAATGTGTTCTCGGGTTCAATGAAAACAAAAGTTGAATTTGTTAAGAACATCGGAAGAGAAAATACCTTAAAAAGGTTATAGGATTTAGGTTCAACAAGTGGAAGAAATATTACAAAGGTTATTTTGTTGTTATAAGAGTAAATACGAATTTTGCTAATTTGATAAAATAAGTGGATGTTCTTAAGATTAAGTTCGAAAGGGTATTTCAAATCACCTAAATGACCTTGTAAATTTGATAATTCTTGCAAAAATTTTCTGGGTGGAAAAACAGTTGGATGGAGAAGACCGTGTTGCGCTTGTAAAATAATATTTAAAAGGTTCTCTTGTTGAGATTTAAATGAAGATATTAATAAATTTAGGAGTGAAATGATTTCGTCTATTTCAAGAGACCATTTGGTTTTGGACTCAAAATAACTTGAATTTTGACCAATATTATTAATTTCATTAATAACTTTATTTAATTTTGAATCTAAATTTTTGAAGACGTTTGCAACATTTGGATGACTAGAATTCACAAGACGAATTGTACTTTCTAAAACTGACGTTTGCTGCTTTAGTAACGTCATTAGATGTTGCTGATTTTGCTTTAAGTTCTGGATTTGAGAATCATAATAAATAGCGTCATCTTCATCTAATGTACCGAAAAGTGTTTTAGAAACGAATCCTACTGCATTTATCAATCCACGCTTAACTCTTATTCTTTGTTGGAGTCCTAAAATATCGAAAATAATGTCATCTTTAGCCTGAATTTCAGTGAGAATATGAAACAAAGTTTTATTAAATGTTTGCCAAGATATTATATTCATGTCTTGAAAAATTGGATTGTTACAAAATTTTGCACTGTCAGAAACCAAATTTAGAATTCGCTTGCGTTCATTTTGATACGATTGCATATCTATATACACTAGCAATTTCCAATAATTATTAAAGACATCTACAGATCCCATTTTCCCATAATATAAACCTGAACTAGAGGTAATTGAACTAATGTTATAATGCTGATCCCCGTTAACGGAACGATTGTATGATAAAAATATTCCAATAAAAATTATAAAATATGCTGACCTCGTTTTGTTGTGGAAAGCCATTTTTGCTTATTAGATAGATTAAATTCGCGCGCGTACCTGAAACCAAAGAAATGTTTACTATGCAAAACTAAAATAGATTTTCTATAAATAAAATAAATATAATTTATTCTTTAAACAATTTCAATCGGTTAATGTGCACTTTTACAGGTTTCCGTTTTACTAATATTGTGCAGTTTACATCTGAATCGACCGATATTACTTTATATGGACCTTGGAACAACGGTTGTAATTTCTTAGTTTTCCCAGTAGTTTGGGTTTCACTTCGTAGCAGGACCATGTTGTCTTTTTCAATTTTTACGGAGTTTACAGTTTTGTCATATTGTTGCTTGGCACTTTGCTTGTTCTTCAAAATTGTTTCGCGAACGACTGAATGACAATGCTGGAACCTCGCCTTGAGTTCATTATAATAATCATCGTAATTGTAAAGTAATTCTGGATTTTTGGTTAATGATGACGGTAAGAGAACTTTGCGCCCATAGAGAAGTTCGAAAGGTGTGAAATTAGTCGAAGTATGTGGAGTTGTATTGTACGTAAAAGTAGCAAAAGGTATAAATTCATCCCAATTATTCATGTCTTTGTTAATG